CAATATGACAGACTCTGGTCAACATTCCCAGCACAAGGGTGAAGGCGCTGATAACGACAGTGTGGAGTGTAAAAGGGTTTTGACGAATGCCGCTCGAAGGAGCACACCACACTACATTAAAAATATGCACGGTAAAACATTGTGACAGGAAAGACATGATAGGAGGATATAGGAAATGTTAATAAGCCAGGGCAGAAGGGGAGATAACACAACTGTTTAGCACACGTTTGCTCAAAGTATGGGCTTCACTTGTCTCTTTGACGAGTTGTAATATGGCGCTACGAATGCCGATACTCACTGACGATGCCGGCGAAACGTCTGGGAATGTACCATGTCCACGGTCCTACTTTGGAAATGGTGATGCATATAATGGATTCCGGACAAGGTGCGTTCCTCTAAGTCTTTCTACCAATATGACCGAGTTGCGAAAACAAGGTCAAACAACTTCTATTGTTAACGTTTACTTAAAAACTCATTCTTAGCAATTGAAATAATATAATGGTTGAGAAAAATCCGTAAAGCGGTTCAGATATTGAGCAGGATTTTATGGACATCTAAGAGTCTCAAAATGAGTAAATAAAGTAAATACCTCTAGCTTAAATGATAGAATGAAGCATTAAGCATCCTGCCGATTTTAGGTTATTAAATCCACACAAATCTGGCGCAGATGTTTTTACCTAACTTAAAGTTTAAAAACCCTTTGCTGAACGATCGCCTAATTCATGTTTTCCGGCTGAAATCAGAAGAATCTAGAAATAGATGCAAGACAATTAAAAAGCAAATAAGTTTCAAAAAGAAAGCAGCTCGCGTAGAGGGTTATTTATATTAATAGTTTAATCAGAAGATCGGGGTATATTATTGGAGGAACCCAGCAATGACTGTGGAGAACGCAAAGGAAAAATAGCTGCAAAAGCAATCCTAGCATAGACCAAGAAGGCCAGATATAATAAATTAGAATTAAGGCTGATGAGAACAAATCCTGAACTATGGAATAAATTACAAAAGTGGCCAAAGAAGAAAAGTCAAAATGCAAAATGAGAATGGCACGTCACCAATAAGATGATTCAAAAAGCGCAAAAGGAACTCAATCGACGGTGCAAATCTATGGGGGTATACAAGACATTAAATAGGGTCATTTTATTAATAAAAAATTAAGGCCATTAGACAGAATGAGGAATCTGAATTTTAAACTTGCAAGAGGCGAGTCAGTGTACCAATGCTAAATGTCAAATTTGAGCAAATTCGACGCGAACTCAATAATTTATTGGAAAGTTTGGTTGAATTTCGCAGATAGGATCTTTTTGAAAATGCGAGGGCATGATTTTGTTAAATTATCGTCCCCTGCTTTCCCTTAACGTGATCGGTGAAGGAAGAGTATACAACCAGTGCTTCTATTTTAACGCCACCTTCCAAAGTTGTGAAGTCCGAAAAAAGCCACCTTAAATTACAACATCAGCTGGGCTATTATTTAAAATGTCTTAGGTTAATAATCGTCTCATCAAATTGACTTCCAAGTAAAATTTAAATTCATTATAAATAGGTTTATTTAAACCTTTGGAAACCGATCAAATTTTGATTTGAAATTAAGATAAACCCCATTTATTGTAAATATAGTCCATTCTGAAAGTATGGACAGTCGAATGAGATTCGGAAGTTATAATAATATGGAGAGCAAAGGGAAGCAATAGAAGGCGCGTAAGAACACGCATTCGTTTTTTTTGATGTAACATGAAACGTTGATAAGAGTCAAGTATAAAGAAAATGAGGAAAAAGAAATTTCTAAATATATGGTAATGAAGATAGTACGACACTGTAAAAATCCAATATTAAGAGTAAATAAAAGACAATGTTTGGTTTGACGCAAGTAGATGAAAGATTTGACAGGAAGGCAAGATAAATAGTCCTCTGTGGGATATAAAAATTAGAAATATCGGAAAAAGTAAATCTTAATCCCATGAAAGCAATTAGACAATGCTGGCCAATGTTGATTGGTCAAAAGGTCAAATACAGGGTGGCGCTCAGGAACAGATAAGATATTTAAAAGGAATTGCAAGAACCCACTTGAGTGACGAGGCAGTGCGTAGTGAGAGTGGAGGCGTGCAGAGTAGTCAAATAGGGTGGCCGGAAGTAGGGCCAGCCTGAAGAGACCAGGTCGACGGCAACCAGTTCTTCTTCACAGAGGATGAGTAGCGCTTGTACAGGACCCATGCAACTATCGCTGTCGCCCAGTTGAGTCCTACTGGCAGCGGGGCAGCCTCCAATGGCTAAGACATCGACAACTGGAGATGGAAGATCAAGGCAAACGTGCTCTCGAGCATCGGGATCAAATACATGTACTGGTTCGGTAATGAGAGCTGGGTGTAGTCGGCTGCACACATAAGTCACATATGTAGAATGGATGATATGAGATAAAATGATGAGCAAAAAGAAAGTAATATGATAAAGTACTGGTATTTGAATTTTCCCACAGACCTTACATTTCCATTGCATTTAACATAGCCTTCCCAAAATGCATTCTCATCCAGGCAAGAATGGACTACATTTTTGACCTCGCCCAGGTCCCACCAGCATCCCCAATGGGACTCAAACTGTGATAATGTAACGTATAATCCCGACACGTTAACCACTACGCCACACTGCCACGAGTGCCATCGAGTCACAGGGCATATACGAATTTAAAAGCAGGGCACTTTCCAATATTACATTATGTAGTGGGATTGTTGATAGAGCAAATTTGTATTTGATATAACAATCGACTAAATAACATATATATATATATATATATATAATGCATTCATTATGTTCCGTTAAGGTCGATGAGGCCTAGACAAGGTCGAAACTGCCGTCCGCTCCTACCTGGAAGAGAATAAATTTTGGGAAGCAAGGCTATGCGAAATCCAATGAAAATGTAAAATATGCTCATAGCATTGTGGGAAAATTCAATTTCCAATCAACTTATCACCGTAAACGAAATAGGGTAAATATATCTCATATATATGTCCTATTGGCAGTCTCAAAATCCTACATATAAACGAATTAATAAAATGCAAGCATTTAAGTGTGCAGCTATATATATCATTCAAAATAGCCCAAAGAGGAAGCTTAGCGTGATTTACTAAGTCGGAACTCTGATACTTAAAATATAAAGATTGCAATGGAGATAAGCCTCAAAATTTTCTTTTCCTTTGTGAAGCAACTAATAACTCTGGGCCTGTAGAAGAATAAAATTATTAAATTAATTGAAAGCAACATTGAGAATGGTGCTAGTGTCTGGTAGTAGTAGACGTCCCACTATATGTAACAATGCAAATTTTGTTATTATATTCACACGTAAAAGCAATATTGAAAGCATATATGATAGACTATGGCAATTCGTAGTATAAATAAAATACACTTAGTTACTACTTACCGATGTGGGGTGGATGCGATTGGCCCTTCTTCCGTCCTCTCTTCCTGCCGATATAACCGGTCGTCTTCTTCCTCTTCCTCATCTTCTTCGTCACCGTCAGATAACGCTTGTGCTTCGGCACGAATAACAGCATCTGTGGCAGCCTTGTCCAAATTAGAGCCGCGTAAAAGACTGACGGTTCTCTTTTCACCGTAGTTCGCACGAGGCATTCCTCCAACAAAAACGGTTATTCCACCACTAAAGTGTACATAGACGAGATAGGTGGAG